ACATTCAGCATTTCAATACTAACCTCAATCTTTCCCCACACCCATATGTTATGCAAAGAAGTGATATTTGCAACACTGTACACTTAGCAAGAAGGGGTGATTTATTCTTCTTAAGCAACATTAATACAAATGTAAAGTTTCCCATGTTGACTACATACAGAACTCTACCGGCTCCAGAAGTTCAATTCTTGGCGCCTGAAAGTCTTTGCGTGACAGAAAAATCACAACAGCACACTTCAAAATAACCTTTAAGTGAACAGGCAATAAACCACTAAAACAGGTGAAGAAATAAAATAGGAAAATGTGTCTAAAGTAAGATTAGGTGTGAAAAACACTGTACTCCATTTCCCACTACTGTGCAAATTTAGTAGCAGCCCTCTCTTTCCTCACCATTGTTTGGCTGGGAAACTGAATGTCAACAGAGTCACTGTTGTTATTGTAATCGAATAGACAAAGAGTTTTTTTCTTTTCATGGGGCAATTTGACACCTCTTAATCCAAAACTTCCTCTTCTTCCCCACGGGGAGGGGAAGGTTGGGGGGGTGGGATCTGACACACAGCTTTAGTCCATTGTGATGTGTGTGATCATTAGTGCCTGGACTACAGCTCCCTGTGGAGTCCACTGCCCACTGAAGCGAGCTCTCACTAGCAGATTGTCAAGCTCTTACTGAGGTACCCAGGAACAATGCATTCATGCAAATACAGACATACACCTATGTACAAAGAGTATAAGGCTCACTCCAAAGGTTTCTTACATCTACACACATTCTGCTGCCTCATCTCACCACCTCACTGTTACCAAATTCATTATATCAGTGTCAATAAGTTCAATATGGGCCCTTTCAACAAGGTGAACCTCAAACAGTCCAAATATTAAAAAGGTTTTAGTTGACATGCAGCAATAATGACCAGCCTGTCAACAGCTGAGCACCATAGCAACCACCACTCATGTACCATCTGGCAGCACACACTGATTTTCAGAATGCCTTTTCTCTCTAATTCTAAACCACTTTGCTTGCCCCTTATTAGAACCCAATGGAGTGACAGATGCATTGCATTGCTAAATCTACAGACTAGAGCAGATGTAGTGTTTTTTTGGCAATGCTTTCAGTTGTGTTGTTAGATGACTCACTCTGGGGTTAGGCATTAAATGTTACAATGTGTGCTCTTCATAACATTTTTTCTCCCTCTCATCTCCAGCTTTCTTGTCCTTCAGGCATTTCAAAAAGCTCACAAAATGCTTCTCTAAAACTAGGGGCAGCAATATAAGACACCACAGATGGAGTGCTGAAAACTGGCTCGCTCTGAAAGGACAAGACACATTTCAGTACACTCACAATAGTTTGGGAATCTGGGTCCATAAATTATGAATAATGAGGATCTGGACTAAACCAGCTAATTCAGCCAGCTCACTTCCATCATACTGTCTCTGTGTGAGTCATTAGGAGCTGATTAAAAGGCTTCTGCACCATCACTGCCACTCACACTGCCACTGTTATGCTGTAAACAACATGGGCCTCTCTGCATTGATGCTGCTTGTCTTTATGTAATTTGAATATTCAGCATTTTACAGTAGAACTCTGGTTACAAGGACTTTTCTCTGTCATATGAAAATGACCTACTTATTATTGCCATTCCAACACACTCATACATTCTCTGTAGAGGTATATCCTCAGAAGCTTCTAGAAAAATGTTTCTTCTTTTCTGTACTGCCTAGTGTGTAGTAGTGTGTAGTATATCTATCTATCTATCTATCTATATATATATATATATATATATATATATATATATACACGTATATGTATATATGTGTGTGTGTCCACTCATACCAGCACAACACACACTAACACACCACCACCACATCAGTGTTACTGCAGTGCTGAGAACGATCCACCACCCAAATAGTATCTGCTCTGTGAGGGTCCATGGGGGTCCTGACCACTGAAGAACAGGGTAAAAGGGGGCTAACAAAGTATGCAGAGAAACAGATGGACTACAGTGTGTAATTGTAGAACTACAAAGTGCACCTATATAGTAAGTGGAGCTGATAAAATGGACAATGAGCGTAGAAACAAGGAGGTGGTCATAATGTTATGATATATGATCGGTGTATATACATATCCTTTGTTCTGTTTGTTGTCTTTTTGTATGACGTGCTATATATAGTGCCCCACCCAAAGATATTTGGACACTTAAACAGACGGACACCACCTGTCCTCTTAAAGAACACTTTGCTGAAAATAACAGTCATGGAATGGTCAGTTTAAACAGTTTAAAGAAATGCCACTTGGTTTGACATTTTGTACGTAGTAATTGGAACTGAAAAATACTGTTATTGCTTTTCTGTGCTCTGCTGCCTGTTATGCTGAAGCCTTTAGGGGAAGTAGCAAGAAGGTCCAGCCACAAACAAAACAGGCCCTATTCTGGAGCAATTCTTTTAAGCTGACTTGCCAAAGGCTACATGGGCTTTTTATGGGATGCCTGAATAGATGCATCATCTGATGAGAGCAGAGGACAATTCAGCAGCTCCACTTCAAAGCAGGCTACAAACAGCTACTGTAAAGAGCACTGCAGGCACAGAGCAGCTCTCTCTTAAGTGACGAAGGCGTGGTATTTTTGGTACTGATAGTGGTCACCCTCCAAGTGCTGTTACAGGATTAGCCTGAGCTATTACAGTGTAACAGTTGAAAGATCATCAGCCGTGGTAGAACCCCCATGCTAAATCGGTGTTTAAACGGATGGTTTTCTCTTGAGGACGTTTTTACCAGTGGCCCCTTCACATGCCACAGCGCGTAAATGTGCTGTCATCCTAACCCACTACGCTTACTCATCAGACAAATTTGTTCTGTCTCTACCTTTCACATTAAACGGTACAATTAAAGGAAAATAATAGACAAGCAGTTCAAATTAGAAGCTATCTTTTTACCCACCCACTCAGAACGCCCCTCTCTTAAGGAGAGATGACCAGTGTGCCTTCCGTCACTTTACTAGCTGTAAAAATATTGAATTGTGACAGGAGCTCTGTTGCATAACATTTAATTAAGAAGCGACATTCACTCTAGCTTCCCCATAGCTAAGGAAGAGAGCGAGACAGCGAGCCACTATTGTGCTCGGCCTGACATTGACACAGACAGCTTTCAGAGAGGAGCGAAGTGAAGGAGCTCCAATTCATCAGGTTTTCCTGTGTTAAAGTTTCTTTGTCAAGGTCAGAAGGCAAAGCTCCTTTCTGTCTCAACTTTCTGGTTGAGGACACTGAATTAGTACAAGAGGCATGACTTTATGTTCCTGATCACTTTTAAACTGTGAAAAAAAGTGGAAACTGGAAACATATTCTTTGCACTGAACTGAACATTGCAACTCTTATTCTGTGCTGCACATCATCAAAGAGTCAGACTCAGATGAGCTCAACAGCACTACAATGGTTACTTGCACAAAAGGTATCCACATCACAAATCGGTTGCTAACAAATTACTGACTGTACCCAAGCAATGCCAATCAATTGATTTTGCCAGGTAGCTGGTGCTTATTCATTCATTGATTTCTGAGAATTGCCTAGCGGTAAAAACTTTCCACTATAAAGAAGCACAATGCAACAGCATTATCGATGAGAACTGCACAAAAATAGCACCTTGTTCTGCCTCTCTTGTAACCAATTACTTTCATCAGTCAGGGTCTTAGAAAGTACTGGGCTATCATGTTTGACCATTTCAGATGTATTAGTAACTTCTGGCTGATTAAAGCAAGACAGGCATACAGTTTAGTGTGAGCACCACTTTTAATCTTTTTAAACATCCAAAAATTTCAGCAATGCTTTATTTGAAGGCTACCTACATTAGAGACTACTTAACTCATGCACAAGCATTGAATAATGTATTAATAAAGCAATATTTAAACAGTTATGAACAGTTTTTTTTCCAGTAATCACAAAATTTTACAACATAAATGACATTGGATTGACATAGGAAGCCTTAAACTAAAGTGACAGACATGTGTTCTATTTATTACACTATCATGAATCCTCATTCCCAAGTAATTGAACTTAAAAGGAACTTTAAATCAGTTCTATGGAAGATTCTGATGACCTCAAACGTAAGTGATAATTTTCATACATATTTACCCACACATATGAATATATGTATACACATATGTACAACAATCCTGTATTTGAGAAAAGCAGAAGTTCCCTGTTTGTATGTAGAATTTGAAATATATAGGTCTGATATGTGGCATTCTTAAACAGGTTTCTGCCTTTCCAAGTGATTTCCATTACTTCAGAATTATGCTTCATAACAATGTTATAAACAAATCAAATTCTATCCTTTTGGCTTAAGGGCCTTTATGTCAATACAATGTCATTTACTTCATCTTACGATTTCCAGCATGAGCTGTTCATAAATATTCAAGTACTGCTTTTAAATATGTTATTATGCATGTGTTGTAAAGTCCCTAGGTAGATAGCCTTTGAATATAGGGCTACTATTTCATCCTTTGGTCTAACAAACTGTCTAATCAAATTGTTGGTATGGTTCCAGAGTGGTACAACTTATAAAGAAGACTGCATCATATTGCTGAAACTTAAGTTAAAATCTGTCTGTGGTCAGGAGCCCATGGGAGTACAACTGTCCCTACCGCTCTTTGCTGGAAAGGGTGACTTTGTTTCTCTGTAACTGCCGATTCACTGTAATGTTAGCCAATCGGGGGCATCTGCTCAGTCATACAGACAGCACTGGGCAATCAGCACTCCTAGCCAAACACATTCAGCTGCCCTATGACAATGTGTGAGAGGCAGTTAAAACATTGGCTAAGAGGCAGTTTAAACATTACAGCTGATTGGCTACATATTGCAGAGGAAGCCTGGGTTTGCCCTCATCCTCCTTGACTGTAACCAATGTGCTATAAGAAAGAGCTTGACAGCATATGGGAACTGGTTCACATGGGACACTGGGGAGATAATGGGGTTAAATAAATAAATGAATAAATAAAACAGAACTGGTATCCTACCTGCTGTTAAACTTTTCAGGATGTTTCTCTCTCATCAAGTGGAATCTGTGAGCTATCGATGCATCCTACAGGGAGGGATAGAAAAACAGAACACAGATTATCAAACCTTCTCATTAAAACCAGATCAGAATTCAAGTTTTGCCTATTTGTGGTTACTATTCCAGGCAGTGTGTGCTCCAGCATGGTTACTGCATAGAAGATCTGAAATCAAATATTATGGCAGAAAGTAAATTGTGCCCTCGGGCCTGAGAGCACCAACCATATGGCTGTCCGGACATGACCCAGACACGTCTGCCCAGGCCTCTTAGCAAAGATCAATCATTAGCAGAAAGCTCCCTGATCCAGCACCAGTTTTAACATGTTCCATGTGGTTGTTTAAATTCCCTGTGATTGGGAAATCTGTTCCTAGATCAGTGCTCAAAATGGCCAACACTGAAAAATGAGGCACAGGGACATCAGGTATTAACAGGTCTGCGTTTTGGAGCCAAAGCCAGCGGGCTAGGGGAATAAGGGGAGGGATGATAGCACTGTTGCTGTGGCCTGGAGGGAAGATGTTTCAACAGATAGGCCAGCCAGACTGGACAAAGTACACAACCCTGTCAGTGGGGCCACAGAGCGAGTGAGCTTGATGAATAAGTGATCATATCAGCAAGGGTGAAGCTTTCCAGGAACGTGGGTGGAGGGGATGTACAGGGGTGAGAGCAGAGGGCACAGGGGATTGATGAGATGAACAACATGACAATGACAGAGAAAAGCAATGGGCTGAAACAGTTCAAATATACTAATCACTGGGCACTATATTTAGTTGTGTTAGGATTTTTGTGAGAATTTTAGTGAAAATCACTTTGCGCTGATGTGGATGCCAATTTAGCAGTTTATCGACTAAGAAATAAACACAGGTTCAACTTTGTAATTAACGTATGACCAACCCCTCATTTGGCTCACATACTTGTTGTATGAAAGCCTGTATCTACCAGGCAGGAGAAAAAAGGATTTTGATAACACTTTATTTGGAAAGCCTACTGTAAATGCTTCATGGATGCTTATTCTACATTTAATTTACATTCTACTAATTATCTATTAAATTTACCTTACTTTATCCTAATCCTGAAGCTTGACCTAATCCTAACCTTTAACCACAACTCTAGTCCTAGGCCTAACCCTGGTATTAATTCTAACCCTAACACTGTTGAGAATCAACTTTTAACAGATTTTTTTAGTTTGTTAATCAACTGAAAATCTATAGATAATCTACTGGGGACTATCCAAATAAAGTGTGACCAAGATTTTTATCCTTTTCTGATTTTGATTCAAATTGTGACTCATTAGTTTAAAATAATTACTTATTTTCTCATTATTTTGGACTTAATAAGTCCCAAAAAAAACAAGCCATTACTAACCAAGAAGGTACATGATTATTTTGACATATTATTAGTAAATACTTTAAGTAGATATGGCATTATTTTGACATAACATCAAAGAAAGTTAGAGATGATTTTGATGTTCTGATTCAAAACATATTTTTGGCTGGAGGGATGAGCTGAACTTGAGTCTTGTGCCGAGTGCATGTGAAACTGTGCAATACTGTGAAATATTTGTTTAATTTTACTGATTGCACCCTGGTTGTTTGGGAACTGCACAGTGAGCGTAACCTCTTAGCTATGTGCAGTGCATCAAAAAGTGTGACATTTCTGCAACAGAAGCCACAGAAGTAACAATGTAACAAATAGCTTTAGTAATGCAGGTGTAGCAGACGCAAAAGAATTTCAATATGTGCTTTTAACAACTGCTTAGAAAAGTGTCAAATCATTATTTAGGCAAAAGCTGCCCTAAAGACATTTTTAATATTGTGAACACAGCCAGATTATTAGGAAATAGCAGTGATTAACAATGTTCATCAAAAAAGAATGACATGATAGGCCTTCACAAATATTAAAAACTCTGTCTTTGAGCACAAACAATAACAGTCATATTAGAGCGAAAAAAAAAGACGAGCTTTTCACTGGCGTTAAACAGCGCCCAGTCAGTTTTTACTATCAGCATTGGTAAATCAGAGTAGGTGGTTTATTATAATAATCTCTTATCAGTATTTAGTAAATTGCAACACTTATTGACGCTAAACTCTTTTTACCTGTTCTATGTATGGCTAGTTGCAGTGTGTTCTATTGCTTTGTTTTGCTATTTGGACCCTCAGTCTCTTCTTTAGTGAAGCACTCTTGGTGCTGCCTCTTTATCTAAGACATTTCCATGCTGTGCCATTGCACTTAGTGTAGCTGTTTAAAAGATATGTCGAGAGTAATCTCATTGGTTGACAAGATCCTAATTAATCACCCCACCCTTTTATTTCTCTTCTACTTCACCCCATCCTTTGCACATAGCATGTGTGCGCCTGAACAAAAATGTATATGCCTTTTGGACACGCCCTCATCGCTTTGTGCCACATAGCACTGATTATTCAGTTCGTCGTACACTGTTTCAGGAACACGGACTGAGAGACATGAAAGTTCTCAAACATTTCCCATTTTTGTTCAGTTATAGACCCACACAGCAACAGTAATTAAAAAATGATGGCAACTCTGATGCAGCCTGGCCTAGATTATTTAAATAAACAAGAGAAACAATATTATGCACACTGTGTAACTGCACCGCAAGTCTGGCTCAAGCATGCTTAATCATTAACAATGAATGTCAGCAAGGAACAAAGAGAGGTTTAGCATTGAAAACAACATTAAACTTCCCAATCATGACAGTAAATGTGCCAATAATTATTCTTGTTAGTGCTTAAAAATGGCACTAAATTATTCAAGCTTGTATGATGTGATAATGAGCTACTGATGGTCAGTATTCCTGCTATAAAATTACCGGCCTACGGTGTAATGAGTCATGATGTTAAATTCTGGTTTAATTAGATGAGCTCACTGTCTTCATCAGCCTCCTTTAAGATCCATGACTCTGGAGGGGCATTTATCAGCTGAAAATGTTCAATTTATCTTCAGCCTCCAGCTTGTTCGCTGTGCATCAATCACTTGCGCACATATACTTTAAGAATTAACTTTTCTGACAACAGAGATGACACTGCAGACTAAATATGCATCCACTGTACTGCTTTAGTCCTGAACTGGATCTAATGTTGTTTATTTGAAGAGTAGATTGGCAGCAGGGCATGGTCTGTACAGTAAATGGAAAAACAGACTGTGGTGACTCATCACAAGCCCTGCTCTTCTCAGGCTCCACTGGAGCTGTGGAGCTTGCCTGCAAGAGCAGGGTGTTAGTAAAAGCCTGGGTGGGTAGGGGAACAGTTAAAGGCCAGAATGGGAAAAGACAATGTCACTATCAACACATGCCCAATGAGGAAACAGGATGTGTTCCCCAACACACCTACCTTAGCAAAGCCAGAGCAATGTGACTTTTAGTCACGGGACCAGACATGATCTCGTAACGAGAACCTCTGGGGAAAACAACGAGAAATTTTGGGCTAAATATGGATATGTATGTAAACTTACTAGGGTGGGAACAAAGCGAGTGTGAAACCTACTAAGCCGAACGAGATACGGCGCCTCCCTGATTGGATCAGGCACCTATTTTAGTGGATCCTGCTATTTTAAATACACATTTAAATATATTCATACAGCAATCTGTATCAATTCAAGGTGTATCACTTAACTCAACATGCGTGTTATAACAAAATGTGGAAAAGATAACTAAAAGGTAGCATGTGGTTTCACCTCATTCCATTGCACAAATACACTTTTATGCACAACTCCTACCTGGGCTCACAGAGAGAGAAATAAGCACAATACTATTTATTACCTACAAATGTGCCTCTACTGCTGTGACTGTTCATTTCTCAAAAGATTTTAGTAGCGTTGAGCTAAACCACTGGCTAGTGAGCAGTAGTGGTGCCAAGACGAGCACAACAAATTTGCAGGTGGGCTGAACTTCACTTCCGCGGTCAGTGGCTACAGCGAAGTAGTAACTTAACCATGACTATGAGGCGTCTGTTATGTCAACCTCAGAACAGGAGAAAACTAAACTTGCTATTTGATTTTTTTGTTATTCTGCCATTTATGTTTAGATTTACTGAGGAAAATAGTGAGAAAATTTCAAAGTTGGGTAACTGTAGTTTTTGTATTTCTGTAATGCATATGTAATGTCTCTCTGTATACATATATGGTATATGTATATCTGTAATATATATGGTGTACTTCGTAAGTTTCATGCTTTGAATAAGCCATGCTTATGCTTCCAGTCCATATGTGGTGGTGATGGTGACGGAGTTTTGCATTATTCCAAGGTTGAAACACTTAATAAATGCCTAATAGTAAGGGTCATTGGTTAATCTGGATTTTGACTGTTCAATGTCAAAAGTAGAATTTTGAATGTGTCACATATTTTTATGAAAAATGTTTTTGGCTTGTTCACACCACCCACCACAATCTGTTTATTAACTACTTGCATATTAGAAGCTGGTCGTTGAGAGAATGTTCTTTTCATGCTTAACATGCACGTTAGTTGTAAGATTCAATATTATGTGGAAATCTTTTTTCACTGGACCTACCGCAACAGAGGGCCATGGCGCCCTCGTCAACAATGTCCAACAAGCCTGTTGTTAGCCCATGGATGTAACTGCATACAGCAAAAATAATCATTAGCTCTGGAGAGGGATAAACATTTATGTGTGCCAATGATGGCAAACAGGCTGCCAGTGACAGTGTTTTGCTAGCTAGCTTGTTTTGCCTGTTATTGATCCTACTCCGGTCATTAAAAGAGCACACTAGCGGAATTTGGGGGCAGGTTTTAGAAGGGGTGCGCCCTTATTAACAGCAGATTTGGCGGAGTCCAGCAGAAAAAGTTTCACAAGTTGATCCCAGAAGCGTATTCTCATTATGAGATCATGTCTGACCCTGCGAGACTAGGTGACTTTCAAAATGCCATTAAAATGTCAAATGTTTCCCCATCTTAACTACCAACTGCAAGTAGTATGAATAAAATACATCTACGTGAACTATTAGATCTTTATGCTCAAATGAATTTGCGACTACTGACACACTGAGATGTTTGCTGT